AATCGCTGTGGACCGACCCCATCTTGCTCGCGACAAATTCGGAATGCGACTCGCACACACACACACACACGCGCGCACGCTTCCAAACAACACATTCGAGGATGAGGCGCGGGCGGATGACTAGGTGTTATTTGCGTCGCGTTCACTTTTGCAGTCGCAAAGTAAGAGGAGGGAGAGGTGTGTGTGTGAGAGAGAGAGAAACAAAGAAAAGAGCAGGGGCTAGGCGCTGCGCAAAGAGGCATTTCACAGCGCGCTAATCGACAAAGAGAAGGAGCAATCTTTCTTGCCATTAGAATGAAAAATGGTTGGACAAGCGCGAGGACAAGTCTTGTATTGAAAGCGAAAAACGGGAAAGCAGACGGTGGTGGTGGTGATGATGATGATGATGATGATGGGCGGGACGAGGTCGCGCGCGCGCATATACAGAGTTCCAAATCCCAATGGCGCCCGAGGCTCTTGTTTTGAAGGCCGAGCAAAGTGAAAGAATGGTCCATGACGTTTTGTGTGTATAGATGAATGCTGCTTTTTCGAAAGCAAGAAAAAGGTTCCGAACAAGTCCGCGCGCGAGAGCCTTTTCCCGGTGATGGGCGCAAAAGCGCGCGCGCGCGCGCGCGCATGTTCACCGCGTCGAGTGTCGACTATTTAGTTGTTGGAAAGGCCTGGAGCAGGGCTGTCGGTAAAGATCTTCATTTGGGAACGGTAAGTGTCGCCCATGATGGAAGGGACACCGTTCATGACCATTTGCACCTTGTTGTTCTTGGTGTACTGGGGCCAGTTCAGGTTGCCGAAAGCGTTGGGGTTCATCTTGTTCACAAAGGCGACCATGCTCTTGGAAGCTTGGTACGACACTGCGGATGCGGGCAAGTAAGGCAGGTTGGGCGCAAAGTTGTAGGCAGCGAACCATGCTGGAGGGTCGGAACCGTGGGTGATGCCTACCCAGTCTTGAGGGTTGGGAATGTTGAACGTCTCGTTGAAAAAGTAAGACCAGACTGGAGACTTCATTCCCTTCATGCCATCGTCACCGACGTAAGCGTTGAGCATGAAGCGACGCTTGCTGACGAAAGCAAAGTCACCCAGAATGGCGGCGAGACGCTCGAACTGGTTGCCATTGCCGAAGCGAGAAGTCTTGGACGTGTAGCCGGGCCAGTAAGGAGCACCTTGCGAAGGGTCGTCGGGGTAAGCCGCAATGATCTTGTTCACCAAGTCATCGACACCAGCCTGGGTGGGGTCGGTGAAGCCGATGGTCTTGAGGTTGCCAGCCAGCCCGGCAGCATCCATGGAGTGCGAGACAAAGATGGTACCCTCGTCACGAACGTTACCGGTGAGGAGAGGCACGTCTGGCCACTCGCCACGACGAATCTGAGCGATGGCACCGTCACGGTGGTAGACGCCATCCTGGGTAGGCTGGAAAGGCTGGTTACCGGCGTAGTAGCGAGGTCCTTGGATCCATCCGATCGAAGGGTTGGGGGTGGTGCTTGGCCAGAAGGCGGCCTCGCCCAGCTTGATGGCGTCGACTCCTCGGAGCTGGTCGATGGTGCAGTCGTACTGCTCGTTGCTGATGCGGTTTCCAAGCTGGAGAGCAGCGCAAACACGCTTGTAGTTCTCCTCAGCAAAGGCGCTGTTGGACTTGGGTGCAGGCTCGGTGGCGGGAGATCCGGAGAGCATGATGGCAGCACGGTAGATGGGCTTGGCGCCAGCATTCTTTCCGTCCTTGAGCATCTGAGCACCGACGTTGAAGGCACCGGAAGACTGACCAGCCAGAGTGATCTTGTTGGGGTCACCACCGAAAGCAGCAATGTTGTCGCGCGTCCACTCGAGAGCAGCAGTGACGTCTTGCAGACCGGCGTTGAGCACGGCGCCGCCCTCGCCCCTCGTGACACGTTCGCCGGCGAGGAAGCCGAAAGAGTTGCCGCGGTAGTTGGGCGTGACGACGATCATGGGTTGCAGTTGAAGGATGGATTGCAGGACGAGGGCGCTAGAGTTGTAAGCGTTGGCCCAGTTACCAATCTCACCACCACCGTACAGCCAGAACAGCACGGGCAGCTTGCCCAGGTTGCCAGAGCTTGCACCGACGGGCGACCAGATGTTGAGGTTCAAGCAGTCCTCGGAGCGAGTGTTGGCCGGGTTGCCAAAGTCGACGAGGTAGCCGTTGGGCTGAGGGCAGGCGGGAGGAGGGGTGGTGGCGTTGAAGGATGCGCTGCTGGCTGCCTTTTTGATGGGAGACTTGAAGCGGTTCGTGCCAGTGGGCGGCTCTGCAAAGGGAATGCCAAAGAACCACTCTTGCTGGAAGATGGGGTTGGAGCGCAGACCAGTGTAGCTTCCTTGCGCCAGCTTGACCGTGGGTGCCTGACCAAAGCTCTGCAACCACTTGCCAATGCCATCCAAAGCGTTGGACAGCGTGGGCAGTCCAGTGTCCTTGTTGACCGTGGGAATGTCGAGCAAAGAAGGCCTGATCACTGGGTCTCTGCCGCCGTTGGCCTTCTTGGCGTCATTAAAGTTGGCCTTGACCTGGCTCAAGGGGATTTCTGCCAGCTGCTTGGCAGCGCCCATCAGCGAGTTGATGGCGTTGGAGATCCAGTCGTTGGGCGAGCTGGCCTTGTTGTTGAACGAAGGCCATAGCGGCTCGGGCGCGGGGTGAGGGTTGCGCTTAGCATTGGAGTATCGCTTCTCCATACGGTTCGATGGGTGAGGTCCAGTCTGCGAGGCCTCGACTGCCACTGCAGCCACGGCCACAGCCGCAATGATGGAAGTGACGCGCATCGTGTCAGGAAACAAGGCACGCGCAAGGAAAGGGAAGGAGGAGCCGTTTGAGTGATGGGCAGGCTAGACCGGTGGAACAAGAGCAGGTGGGGGAGAGGAAGAGTGACAGCGTGGTGGGAAAGAGACTGCTGAAAGGAGTCGAAAAAGGTTGGCTATTTGAATGTGCGAGAAGACGCACGGCAAAGAAAGTGAGTGGAGCGAGTGAGTGGAGCGAGTGAGTGAGAGCGTGCGTGCGTGCGTGCGTGCGTGTTGTGTAAAAGGGAGGCAAAGGGGAGCAATCGGGGGACGCGGATGGAGGAACCGCGGTGGCGGAAGGGGAAGGGTTGGAGAGAGCTTGGCTTGGAGGAAGGAGAGGCGAGGCGAGGGAGAGTTGCAAATGAAGCCGTGAGTGCGAGTCTGAGTCAGTCGCCAGACCGAGACCGGATCGGATGGTTTTACATTCAATGGCTGGGGCGTGGGCGTGGGCGGGGGCGTGGGCCTTTTGGTTGCCAGCGACTGAGACAAGTCGCGCAAGCTGTGAGCAAATGAAGCGAATTGGGCGCGTGTGTCTGACTGGTGCGGTGCGGTGCGGTGCGGTGCGGTGCGGTGCGGTGGGGTGTGATGGTGCGCTGAGGTGCAGCCATGGTGACGGGTGCAGTGCTGCTGCGAGCGAGGATGGCGCGAGGCTTGGGGCCTTGACTCGGACACGACCGTCCGCACATGCACATGCAGCCGCAGCGACCGCACGAGCACAGAGAAACGCATCCGTTTGACCCTTCCACATCCAACGCCCACCATCGTCGTGAAACACTTGCTGCAGGCGGCTCGTACAAAAGCAAGGTTGCGCAGCTGCAGGCCATGTAAGCAGGAACGGCAGGGAGCAAGCAAGCACGCTGGCACGCACGCAAGCACGCACGCACGCACGCACGCACGCACCCACACCGTGACTTGTCGCACTGTCTCACACAAAGTGCCCAGGCATTGATGTCACGACCCACGACTCCTGCGCTTCACTCGAGCCCTTCTGGTCTGCAGCGTCATGCACAACGCTCTTTCTCTGCATGCGCCTTGACGAGGGCTTTGAAAGCATCCACGAATCATGCAGAGATGGCATTTCGCCGATCTGCATGCGCCGCTGACCACAGCAGAGCGTAGCGCAAGACTCCCACTCCGATGGTACAAGACAAGAGATCTCACCAGCAGGTCCATCCACGCCTATCCTTCCCTGTCATCTGGCCCGCACGTCGTCGAGTTGTTCATGCAACGGGTCGCCGTCGTTGCGTGGTGTTCACAGACGGACCGATGCATCTTCAACGCTCGTGATCAGCGTTGCGCGCGTCAAAGTGCCTGCCATCGCCGAAAGCGTGCTCTACTGTCCTGTGCTGTATGGACGGTGCTCGGCTGTACTGACGCTAAATCTGCGATTCCGCCGTCCGCGTAGCACCTGTGCTACCGCGTGTCTCGCCAAGAGTCGCGAGGAGCATCTAGCTTCGGCATCACGCGTTCGTGCGGCAAGACTGATGGGCCTGCTGCACGCGCGCATGCAGGGCCGACTCGCGCTTGTCTCGCATGCATCATCGCCCGGCCCAGCAGCTGCATGTTGTTCGAGCCTTTTAGTCGTGGAATCTTGGGTGAGTCAACACCTTTCGTGTCTCACCGCGGATGAGTGCTCCCCAACGTAGCGCACCACCGCGCGAAACTCTGCCGCATCGTTGTGTGAAGCCACTCGTCATTCGTGCCTGTCTCAGGTCCTACTCAGAAGCCCCGATTCGAGACATGCTTGCTTGTAAAAGTCTCGCGGAGACAGCAACATCATGGTTCGCGGCACGGTCTTGGCAAAATTCGGTGATTCGATTGGTCTGGGGCGGGCAAAGTGTTCGAGCGAAGTGTGCATCCATCCCATCAGGCGGCGGCATGGGGCGCGAGTCATTCATCGATCGATCTGCCCGCGCATTCCGGCGACCACTCTCTGCGTGCTGCTTCCCCGTCTCGATGCGCGTGGGAAGCAACTCTCGAGAAGCCCCTATGATCGAGATGAAGGTCGACCGACGTTCTTGCCTCATCCTGTACCTCTCACAGTCGCTCTGCCATTCCCCGGCCACCCTCACATCTCATCAGATCGACGCGCCGGAGAGCCTTCGAAGGAAGACCGAGTTCTGCGTGTGCTGCTACTCACTCACAACTCCGCCACGTTAGGGGAGCTTTTTGAGACTCCGATGGATCTTTAGTTGTTGTGACACATTCCGGCGCGTGAGCTGTCTGCCTGGCTGCTCGTCTGCCGAGCAAGCGCTTGGGCCTCGTCGAGAGGGATGAGGTACGCGTAGTCACGGAACGGGGGTACTGTACGGCAAGACGGCAAAAAGGCGGCGAGCGCATAAAAGATCCCGCATGCATTCGTGACTGTTTGGTACATACATCCGCCACCTCCACTGGCGGAGGGGCCAAAAGAAAACCTTCTTTCCTTCTCAGAGAGCTGCATGATTCCGCGCTTTTAGGTCCGCATGCGTCTTGGCCAGCTTCGCCATTTGATCCTTTACGCTCGCTGATGGCGCTTGCTTGCTTGCTTGCTTGCTGCCGCCGCGGTCGAGCAGCCATCGATCCCATCTTGGTTTGAGCGTTCGCCGACGTCGGCACTCCTTGACGGAAGATTTGCGACTTGAATTCGAGCCTGCAACAAGTGCGCAGCGAGTGCCCTACTCCTGGGTCTCGACGCTGAGGTCGGTCGGGATCACTGGCTGACGGCAATCTTCTTGATTGTAACCTAGAGCAAGACGCATTTGCCAGTCGTGAGTTCCGTGTGGCTTAGAACAAGGCCAGGTCCACCCATGCAGTAGCTGGGCTGGTAGTGCATACTCTTGAGAGTACCAAAGCAACCACACGGGCCCGCCATACCCGCCCATCTCGCAAGCGTATTCTCGATCGCGTGTCTTTCTTCGCCGCCAAGGGCTCCAACTACTGCAACGTAATTGCGTATCGGGTCGCAAGCGGCGGCTTTTGGGATCACCATTCGTCCACTAAGCCGTTCTAGGCCCCGGCTTTCAATGAGCATCCAGTCTCTGCGTCGTCTCGTTAGCGCGAACGCACGAGTGCACAGTGCGCCGTGTGTAAGTAGAGCGTCCGGGCAGCACGATCAGCTGGAACAGGAGGCAGGTGCGGCACGCAATGTGATGCGACGCGCTGCAAGTCGCACCGCACCGGCCTCGTTCGCGGTGGTCTCTGCGTGTGTGCGCCGCCGGATGCGCGCGCGCTACTGCACCTATCAATGATGGTGACTCAACAAGCCAGACAGTGAAGTGAAGTGAAGTGAAAGCCTCGACTCTGGCGATGTATTGTACGCAACTCAAACGCTGAAAGCTGGCCCCTATTGCTCTCCTCGGTTCGAGGTCGCATGCAATTCGGCATCAGGTACCAAGTCTGGATGAGTGGTGAGTGCGCATGTTGAGCGTTTTGCGTGTCATGTGGATTGATACACAATGCCGGTGAGGCAGGTCAAGCATCCACGTGCTGAACCGTATAAGGTCGAGCAGGAAAGGGAGAATAGGCGGAAGGGCGGCCTCAGACATACAGCGTCGAGGGCTGATGTAGCGGATTCAGTCGCAACGAGTGACTCAAGACTGTGCGGGTGCGCGTGCGCGTGCGGGTGCGCTTAGCCAAAATGACGCATCTGTCGAGTCTCTCGGCTGGCGAGAGCGGTCCTTTACCGCTGGTGATGTAGCTCGCCCGTAAAGTAGGGTACATTTCGCGCCCGCACCTTTGGGAAGAAGTGGGAATAGATTCTCTCATCGCGACCACGGACAGAAGCTGGCGGATTCGACTGGGATGCGTGATGGCGGTCTGGTCCATACCAGGAACGAAAAGCTGACGGAATGTGATTCTGGTGGAGGCGCGCGCACAGTACCGCATCACGAGAATGCAGCAGGAAGGTGGACGTGTGGGGTCGCCTATCAAGGTGCCGCTACACCTGCGCCTACCAAGGTGCGCTACACCTGCGCCTATCAAGGTGCCGCTACACCTGTCTGATTGCGATGCGCTGGCTATACGCCTCGCACGAGCAAGAGCAAGAATTTCCTTGCGCAAGGAAAGAAAGAGCCGAATGGAGGACCCTTCGCGGTCCTTCTTGCCAGCAGAATCAGCAGCGGCGGCTCAACCACCGACGCGCATAAAGCTCAGGTGCAAGGGAAGGAAAAGAAAACGCAGGAACGCGGCTCGAGGCCTTCTTGGCGAGACAATCACGAATGGTCGAGTCGGAAGGCGGGGGTGGATGTGTCGTGTAACCTCTTCCCAAGCTTCAGTAGCCCATCGAGGTCACGCCAGCCGCGAGGAGCGCATGCAGAGACGGGCGCAGGCGCCGCCGCCGCAGAATAGCACCTCCGGTGCTGTCATTCTTGCAAGGCGACCGGCATGTCTGACAGGTGCGGCATCGGACTGATCCTCGTTTCGCCAGTCGGGCGCGCATGTGATGATTGCGGTACTTGCTTTGCTGGGCAGGCAGCTCATAGAGGATATCAACATCGGAGCCGAGGATCGAGCGGGAACTCGACGCTAAATGAGAACGTCGCGATGTGACATGCACCCGCAAACGGGCTCCGCGGGCGCGCGCCGAGCATGTTATTGGCTTGTGAGCAGCTAGCTTCTCACCGGAGGACTATGACTGTGTGGCAGAGGAATCGCGCTACCCTGTTCACCAACTTGACTCCGGGTGCACAAGTGGGGACGGACGCGCGTCTATCAATGGACATGATGTTCACGTGACCTCAACCACAAGCCGCATGCTGGAATGCGCGCCGGCCGAGAAGTGAGCGGTAGGTCACGTGCCCAACAACGCCCAGACGCCACGTGTCATCACACCTCCGCCGCCCGCTGCGGGCAGGATTGCAGGTCTCGTGTGGGTGTGCTGTGTACGTGCGTGCAGTTCCTCAAAACCAGGGCGAGTAGCGCTGCATCACCACTCGTTCACTCACACCAACTCATCTTCTCACCCCCCCACAAGTGATCGTGAGTATTCGTGTTTGCTTGACGATGTTCCATTCGTAATGTCAGTGAAGGTGTCGCTGACCGCTCTACCTGTCCTCCCCTGCCATCTCTCTTTGTTCGATCTACCTGCTCATCCACCGGAAACCAACTTTCTTGCAAGCAGAAGATGAGAGCAAAGTGGCGCAAGAAGCGCATGCGCAGACTTCGTCGTAAGCGTAGAAAGGTGAGGCTGGGGTTTTGCTCTTTGAGATGCGAGCGGCCGTCGCTGACTCTACTCGCCGTGCCTCGCTGCAGATGCGCGCGCGTTCCAAGTAATCGGATCGCACACGAAGCAAGGCTACTCGATGAAAGGTGAGCAGTCGTGCGGGGGCAGGAGCGGTGGATGAGATGATTAGCAGGGCTCAAGAGCAGGAGTGGTCCGCCATCGCAAAGTGTGGCTGCATCGCGGGCGGCGTCGATGTGGTGATGGCCGCTGTTTGCCTCGGGTTTGCGAGCAACTTTTGGCTCATCCCCCGCACTCCTCGGCACGTGCCTCTACTCAGTACCTTGGCGACCAGCATTCATGCATCAAAAATCCTACCTGCACACATGAAAGTCGAGCATCCACCTTCGACAGAATCTGAAAAAGACGAGTGCTCTTGGCACCAGCGATGACTCTCGTGAGCAACTCGACGCCGGAAAGGTGGTTGCGGCTATCTCATGGTACCATCGAATTGCGATGTTCAGCACAGCATGGTCTCACAGTTCACCTCCGACCAAGCCGATCTCTTTCCTTTTCATGGGGGAGTAGATGCCAAATTGCTGAATACATGAGTGATTTACATCCTGCCACGTTCCCTGCGTGCCTCGGGGCGCTCGTGCAAAGAGTCTTCGAGTAGTTTTGTTTGACCATTGTGGTGATGTTGCAGTCAAAGATGCCTGTCGTCGTTGGCGGGGAGTGTGGGGGCGCGTTGAAGGGTGAGAGGCGGGTCTTGCCCGTTGCCGCGTGATCGCGTCGGTGCTGCGAGATGAATTAGCTGCTCTGACGCTCGCGGGTGGTGCCGCTTGTGCATCGTGTCGCGCCGAGCACAGTCGTGAGTTTGTGAGCACGAATGCCCGGTGCGGGATGCAAGGCGGACGGACTTGGTGCCGAGCTCAAGTCGCAAGTGCGAGGATGGAGATGGAAGAGGATCTTGTTCCAGCGCGTCACACCGCACCGCTCGTCTCGTCTCGTCTCGGCTCGGCTATTGCTAGTGACCGACGCGATCAGGATGGGATGAGATGGGATGAGATGGGATGAGATGGACGGGTGCATGGAGGTGTTTGTATGCGCTCGCGCCATCCATGCCTTGCTGCACCTCGACCATCACGGCTCCAGTCGTCGTCAGTCTCTCCTCTTTCACTCCTCTGCCTCATCCGCGGTCAAGCGTCAAAGTTGAAGAGCGCCCGCCGTTCCTCCTTGGCAAGCATCCAGCCTAGCTGCAATGTCGTTTGCGCCTCTGCTTAGACGCAGCGCTTCCACTATTGGAAGTTGCGTCTGCAACCGGCACGCTGCTGCTGCTGCTGCTGCTGGATCGAGTCGATGGATGACGACGACAGCGACAGCGACCGCGACCGCGACCGCGACCAGCAACGGCGTCCCTTTAAAGTGCTCACCCCAGCTCGCAAGCAGTGTCTGCTCCTCTCGCACCTTTTCCACCTCCACCGCGCATCGCACAGCAGCGGATGCCATCACCGCGTTCCCCCCGGCCGAGTCGGCAGAGCACGCAGAGTTGTTGCAGCAAGCGAAAGCCAGACTGCTAAAGCTTGGCTTTCATCACCAAGAGTCGTTTTGGGAACAGAGGATATGCTGGGGCGATCACGACTGCGTGAGTATCGCATCGCGCGATGGGCCGCGCATCAGATGAGGCAATGACGAATGCTCACGCCGCACCTGCACTCACGCACACGCACACGCACACGCACACCCAAACACCAGTTTCAGCACGGTGAGACTTTGGAGCGGGGGGGGCGTGACGTTTTTTTTGAACGCCAGACAATGACACTCTGGCATGCACGCCAACTCACACGGCGCTGTGCGTGCCTCTACGCCTCCTCTGCAGTGAACAATGTGCACTACGTTCGATTTGTAGAGTCTGCTCGCATGCGCTACGGAGAAGTGTTGGCCTCCAGATTGACGTCGCAGAGGGCACAAGAAATCGTCTATGGAACAGGCAAAGGCATGATCTTGGCAAAGGTTTCAGTCAAGTACATTCGACCCGTCACTTATCCCGACACTGTGAGCGAGCCAGCGATGATTGCCTCTCGCCAGCGATGCTTGCCTCTCGCCAGCGATGATCAAGCCGCTCATTGTCCCATTTCCTTTTCCCCCCCGCTCAGCTGCTGGTCGGCACTCGTCCAGTCTTGCCGCTGCAAGGCTCGGACAGGTTCACGCTGCAAGCCAATATCGTCAGCTTGAAGCAGCAAGCACTCGTAGCTACGGCTGAACAGCTGTGCGTCAGCTACGACTACCCTGCGCTGACCAAGTGCGACTTGCCTCGAGATTTCAAAGACGAGATTGAAAAGAGCGGCGCGGCACCGTCACCGTGAAGCTGTCGGCCGGCCAGCCATTCGTTCCACATTTGTCTGAGAAAGAATCACGAATGTTGCCCGGGAGCTCGTGTCCACGCGCGCCGCCCGAACACGGATCCGACGGCGATCTGATGCCACCACCGCGCCCCTTTTGTTAGCTTTCATCGGCCTCTGCGCTGCACAAGAGTCAAGAATGCGCAATCACAATCGTGATGGTGAATGTGATTCCCGCTCGTGATTTCCTGGACCGTAATCGTGAAACGTCGCGCGCGCGCTTCTGCAGGCCCGCCGCTAGCGTACGCGCGCTCATGCTACATACAGTCACGAGTGTGAGTGCAATCAGATTCGCCCCTCTGCATCCTTGCGCACACCACGACCCCGCGCAAGAAGACATTGCAAGAGACTCGAATGAGCGCAGATGCCGAGATGCAAGACGGCAAGGAGGTGACGTTGTTGGCGGAGCAAGAGCAAGGGCAAGGGCAAGGGCAAGGGCAAGAGCAAGGGCAAGAGCGAGCGTCCCCTACCTGCGCATCCGCAACGACGCCTACGCCTACGCCGCAGTCGAGCTGCTGCTGGAGCGAGCAAGAGGAGCGCAGACTGAAATGGAAGATTGACGCGCAGGTGTTGCCCTTGACCCTGCTGCTCTACACGCTCAGCTTTTTGGATCGCACAAACATCGGTCAGGCCAGGCTGATCGGATTGCAGGAACAGCTGTCTCTCAGCTTTCACGATTATCAAGTCGCCCTCACCGTCTTGTATGCGCCGTACATTGCTTTCGAGTGGGTGGCATGGTGCGCCGCGGTGCATCTGATCCCGTCTCGTCGCGGCTTACCCATCCCCCTCTCCTCTCTGCGCCAAGCACAGAATCCCTTCCAATCTGCTCATCAAAAAGATTGGCCCAGCCAGATTGATCCCCTTTCTCGTCACGGCTTGGGGCATCGTCTCTACGCTGCAAGGCATCGTCACCACCCGCACCGGCCTCTTCATCAATCGAGCATTCCTGGGCTTTGCAGAGACAGGTGGGTCGAGCGCGAGGGCGCGAGTGCGACTTTTTTTGGATGACGCTCAACGTGCCGCTTCCTCGACGACGTGACTGCGTGACCCGAGGCAGGAATCCTTCCCGGCTTGGCCCTGTACCTCACCTTTTTCTACAAGGCTTCGGAAATTCAGCTGCGACAAGCCATCTACTTTAGCGGAGCATCCTTGGCAGGCGCATTCAATGGCGTGCTCAGCACAGCCATCAACCTCCTCAGCGGCAGAGCTGGACTCTTGGGATGGTCTTGGCTATTCATCCTCGAAGGCATCTTTACCGTCCTCGTCGGCATAGCCTGCTTTTCCATCCTCCCCAACGATGCTTCCAAGCTGTGGTGGTGCAGCGAGCGCGAAAAGCAGATTGCAGAGGAGCGAGTAGAGCAAAGCAGGTTCACCATGCGAGTCATCAAGGACGTGCAGAAGAGCAACGAGACGCTGGATATGCCACGAGCAGCAGCGGCCACCCGCACGGGTGAGCCATTTTCGTGGAGCGAAGTCGGAAGAGCTTTCACAGATCCATTGGTGCTGCTGGTCTGGGTGGCAGGGCTGTGCGACGCATCGGGAGTGTACGGTCTCGCCTTTTTCGCTCCGACCATCATCAAAGGTCTGCCATTGGGTCTGACCACCGTTCAAGCCCAGCTGCTTTCCTCGCCACCCTTTGCCGCGGCGTTCCTTACCAGCATCATCCTAGCCCTCGTCTCTGACCGCCTGCGATGGAGGTACCTCACCGGCTTGATCGGTTTCTTGCTCGCCATCGGAGGCTTGGCCATGGCTTACGCCAGCACAAATGCCAAAGTGCAGTACGGCGGTCTCATAGTCATGTCGATGGGTCTGTATACCCTGCCCAGCTCCCTCATCACGTGGGTCCTCAGCTCTACGGGAGGCTACTACAAGAGAGCAACGGCTATCGCTCTACTCATCGTCGGCACAAACAGCGGTGGAATCATCGGCACCTGGCTTTTCGATCCCACCGAAGCGCCACGATTTCGACGAGGCTTCATCACGCTGCTGGTCCTGCAGTGCGTGGGCCTGCTCTCCATCTCCATCTTGGAGGCCTATCTGCTCTGGGAGAGAAGGAGTGGCAAGGAACGACATGCAGACTGGATCTCTGAATTAAAGGCCCAGGGCTGCTCCGAAGAGAGCATCAGGCAGCTTCTGGGAGATCGACATCCCGACTTTGTCAGAGAGCTGTAGGCAAGGCGGCAATGTCGGCGGCTCACAGCCAGCATGTATTCACATCGTCAATCGACCCATGGCACGTCTGGTGCAAGGTCAAAGGTGCTCCAAAAGTCCGTGCCATCGAGAGCGTGCCCCAATTGCTCTGGTTCGAGGGGAAAGAAGGGCGCCAGCTTCAGTGTGGGGGCCAGGAGGGAAAAGTGCGACCTGAAACGCAGCGCTGTCATGTGCCGCGCCGCGCCGCGCCGCCGTGTACTCACCCACGCTTCGAGGCAAGCTGCGAATTACTCCATCGACGTTGGGATGCCGCGGCTTCTTGTTGCCTTGTTCGTCGAGTGGCGGTGCGCCACGCGATTCTCGAATCAATTCTTGTATCCACTGCGCCTGGGGGCCGCGAGGTGGATGATCTCTGCCCTCCTCGCCTGCATTGCCCCATTGCGAGATGAGATCCCACATGTCGCTATGAGAGAGAGAGAGGAGGGTGGATGGCAGTGAGCGCGCGCATTCTGAGAGAAATGTACGGGCAGGCACTCACTAGACGCGCTCGTTGGTGAGCAACCACCTTTGACCGTTGGCCTTGGCCCACTGACCGTGCATGGCCAGCACGGCTCTAGCAACATCTCTGCCATGCACAAAGTGCACACTGGTCAAGCTGCGAATACTCTCCTTGGCGGGCGCCAGGCGTGCAATGAACCTCCTTGGACTCCTGCCGTGTCCCCACAGACCGCTTAGGTTGAGCACGGATGTGGGAATGGGGTGAGGACGAATGTCGTTTGGACCGTGCGACAGGGACAATAGGTAGTCCTCTGCTCTGCCTCGCGGCACGCCCACATGAGGTGAGTGTCGGTCTTGCCACGGCGACGAGCTCAGCTTGGGCTTGTCCAGGCAGCGAGCAAGCAAAGGGTGGGCTGAGGCAGACAGGGGCGCGAATTGCGCTTGGGCTTGGGCTGTTGGACCATACTGCGAGCATGGCGGGGTCGTGAGTGCGAGTGCGGGTGCGCATAGGGTGGGACACGACAGGCTGACTCACATCCCAAATGCCGGTGCTGCCGAGCGCGATGAACCTGGTGGTCATCTTTTCAGACGCCTCGCGGCTATCGAGATAACCGCTGACCAATCTCTTGACGGCAATCTCTTCGTAAAAGGGAAAGACGATGAGGACGGTGTTGGCATCCGGCAACACCCTGAACGGCTCCACATCATCCGAAGCGGCATCAAAGTGGAATGCGATGGAGCCGGATGCACCCGCTCGAGTGGTGTATGCCACGCGAAGAGAAGCTTCTAGAGCTTGAGGTACCAAGAACGAGCCCGTCCAGCCGGATCCCAGCAGCAGCAGGTCCACTGCCTCATTCGAGTCGCTGCTGCTGCTGGATGGCCCAAGCAGGAGGTCGGTCAGTGAAAAGGGCAAACAGGACATTTCGGCAGCGAGCGCGTTGTGATGATGATCGAGTCGCGCGGTGTGGACGTCGCACCCATCCAGCGGTACGTGGATCGTGACCGTATATACAAGGCGTTGAGCATTAGCATCCTCGCTTAGACATCAGCCGCTCGTGGCGTGCCATCACGGCTGCTGCTGGATTGCTGGTGGAGGAGGCAAAACCGCTGGTCACGTGCCGCGATTGCTCGACCCTGCATGCATAGACTCACGTGACTCATGTGACTGCAGTGATTGATGCTGATCGGAAGCTTTTCCCCGCAAAAGCGATCACTTTTAGCGCGTACGCAGGCGCAAGCACGCGCACGCGCACGCACGCACGCACGCACGCACGCACGCACGCACGCACGCACGCACGCACGCACCGCACAAACCATCACCGCGCGACGTCGCATTGCCGGTTTGATGCTGTGCAATCACGCGCTGTCGCTCGCTCACGACTTGCCAGCATCTGCAGCACGCGCCCTCGCCCTCTCCCACCATCATTCAAAGGTCAAGGTCAAGCAGAAGGATAGGGACAAGAATATATTCGCTTTTGCTGCTCCAGTCAGGACGGTGCTCCCACGTCTACTGCGCACATCAACCCCCTCTACGCGCGCAAGATGACGCCCTCGCCCTCTGATCCACCTCGCAAACCCGGCCATGCTTCCGTACCCCCTCCAGCGCCCAGCCCAGAGGCGGGCAACGACTCGGAAGCGCGCACGCGGGAGCTGCTCGGAAAGCGCAACCTAGCAGCCAGCACACGAGGTATAGATTCGCCGCAGCACCTGTCCACCTCGGCAGCAGCCCAGTCTTCCGTCACCACATCGCCCTTTGCTCCTGCAGTCTCTCCCATTCACGCCCCAGCAGCAGCTGCATCATCCTCCTCCTCGCCCGGCGCTACCATCACCGCGGATAGGCAGGACAAGGCGGCAGAATCTGCTTGGCAGCACAAGATGGAGACGACGGGAGGTCAGAACCTCAACGTGGTGCAGACCTACAAGGCTCACTTTCGCGAAGATCCTTGGACTTGGTTTGGTCAAATGTATCAGTACGGGCAGGGAACGGGTTGGAGAGCTTGTGCGTGTGTCCATGCGTGCCGACGCCTTCGATGCTCTCGCTTGCGATGTGCATGCTCACACAGCCGTGCGCTCGCTCCTCTTGCCCCCATCCACGCAGACACCGACTATATTGGCTCGCCGATTCTTTACCCGACGCAGTCGACGGAAGTCGTTCAGGTGAGATGCGGTGCGGCGTGGCGTGACGGAACTCGGTGAGACTGAATGCAGATCACCGCTCGCGCTCGCCCATCGTGCACTGCTCTCAGAGTCTAGCGCAGTCAAAGCAAGGTGAGCAGCTGTGCCGGCCTTTGCGCACGTATCGACCGAACTCACACTCTCGCTCTTCGCGTGGGCCGCAGTGCAAGAGCGCATACATGCGCTCGCCTCGAGCAGAGTCGAGTCGTTGTTTGCTACCGTTCCTCCTCCCAAGACGGAAGAGGCCCGCAAGGAGCTGCAGCGCTTCAAGGAGAAGCGGAGGCTGGAACTGGAACGCAACCTGACCGACGTCGCTCGTGGACTCGCCGAAACCAATGTCGCCCGGCTCGACAGGTGGGTCTGAGCGGCGGGCAGGGCAGGGCAGCGCGCTCGCTCGCTCGCTCGCTCGCTCGCTCCTGACCAACACAAACCTTTTACACGTCCATAGTATCAAGTTTCTGCGCGGCTTTGCATGGTCCGTAGAGTCCATCTTGGCTCGGCTGTACCATCAAGGTGAGCGCTGCGCTGCGCTGCACCCACAGCGCGCGGCTCGTTGACTGACTCGGCAGAGCGACGGTAAATACATGAATCCAATCCATCGTCGCAACTCCCGCAGGTATCCACATCTCCGTCGCTCAGGTGCTTGAGCTCCGCCGTGTTGCATCTTACTGCGCGGAGCGCAAAATTAGTCTGCTCTTTGCACCTTCTCATTCCTCGCATATAGGTGGGTCGTTCCGTGCTACCGCGCCGCAGGATCCTGTGTTGACCCTGTCACCCTCAAGACTACCTGACCCTCTCATGGCTCATGTTCCGACTTGGAATCGCTGTCCCGCACATTGTGGCTGGAGAGAATCTGGATCTGCCGGTGCTCGGCAATGTCCTCAAGCGCGGAGGAGCCTTTTTCATTCGCCGCACCTTTGCTGGCGATCAGCTCTACCCTGTGCGTAGACGAGAGATGATGTGGGGCCTTTTACACGGACGACTGATCTTGCATCGCTGCTTGCGCTCGCCCTCCACTTAGATCGTGATCAAGGAGTACGTGGAGCAGCTGTTGGCATCCGGAAAGAACATCGAGTGCTTCATCGAGGGAACGAGGAGTCGAACCGGTAAACGGTGAGCCGCGCGCCATGGCACAAATGTCCGCATGGCGTTTGGCTGACGCTTGCCGCGCCCACTAGACTACCACCAAAGCTCGGCATCCTCAAATACGTCGTCGAAGCCCTGCTGAATGAGCGCACGGAAGACGTCTTCATCGCGCCAGTCAGCGTCCAGTACGACAGTGTCATTGAAAGCTCGACGTACGCGGATGAGCTTCTAGGCAAGCCAAAAGAAGCAGAGTCGCTATTTGGTTTATTGGGCTCTTCTAGCTCCGTGTTGCAGCTCAAGTTGGGGCGCATCGATGTGCGCTTCCAAACCCCGTGGTCGCTCAAGGGCTTTATCAACGAGCAAAAGTTGCGACGCGAAGCACCCACCCCTGATCACAAGTCCAAGATGGAGCTGGATCTGTTCAACAATGATGAGCACAAGATTCTGCTTCTCAAGGCGCTTGGGTATAGGATCTTGAACGATGTCAACAATGCCAGCATCATCATGCCAGCTGCGCTCTGCGGTACCATTCTCTTGATTCTTCGAGGGCGCGGCATCGGTAGGAGCGATCTCATCAAGCGCGTTGAATGGCTGGCGGGCATCATCCGAGGCAAGGGCTACCAGGTAGCAGACTTGTGCGTTGTGTTGGGGGGGGGACAGACCCGCGATCACACGCAAGGCTGACGAGTTTCCTGTTTTGGCATTCACAGCGGCAGCCTCTCGACGGCAGAAGTCGTCGATCGCGCCATCACTGGTGTCATGAAGGGACTCGTGGAAATCGAGACGGACGTGATGGAGCCGACGTACGTGCCAGTCAAGCGCTTTGAGCTTTCCTTCTTTCGCAATCAGGTGAGCAGCAGCGCGCGCCCGCCGGCATACACGTTGATTCCTCGCTGAGCACCTTGCCTCCTCAGGTCATGCACGTGTTTGTTTCCGAGGCGCTCCTGTGCTCCGCGCTCTACACCCGTGTCAAGCAAGGAGGAGAGACGCCGAACCAATTCATGAAGAGGGAAGCGCTGGTAGCCGAAGCGGGGTTCATCTCACACGTACTGCGGGAAGAATTCGTCTTCAACTCCGCAGACAAGCTCGAGAACAATGTGCGGGCAACGGTCGACCAGCTTGTCACCGACGATGTGCTCGCGTTTGATGACCAGAACCGCGTAGGCTTGAGCACACGCGAGAGACGCGTCGGACGAAGCAATTTTGATAGTTATCGTGAGTTGCGGGGGGCGGGGCTTTGCGCGCCAGCTGTATCTCCCCCCTCTTCTCACTCTTTCGAAACGCAACGCACCCAGTGTTTCTCGTCTTTCCTCTCATCGAAGCCTACTGGCTCTCTGCATGCTCCCTGCTGCTGCTCGCCCCGCCGCCTCCAAAGGGCCAGGCGCCCGGGTCGGTCCAGTCTTGGTTCGCGGCCAAGGAGTTTGAGAAGCGTGCACAGGTGAGCAGCGCGCGTGTGCGCGTGCGCGTTTGTTGTTCCTTTCTGATCCCCCTCTCTTAACAGTTGTTCGGCAAGACGCTGTATGCAGGAGGCGAAATTTCCTACCTCGAGGTGAGCGCAAGGGCACACTGCCTGGTCCTGAAGCCTAGCTCACGCGTCGCATCTTCCAGGCCATCAATCTGGCTACGCTGTCAGCAGCCATGGTGCGCTTCCAAGAGCTGGGATTCATCGTCAGACGCAAGTCGGACGGACCGAAGCCGGTGCCTCTGGTCGCTCTCAACCCAGCGTACGTGCCGACGTACAATGCGGAGGGCCGCGTGACCAATACAGGCCCGCTGGTCAGTTTCCTGGAGCGATTGAGCGCGTTTAGACGTGAAGGCAAGGACAGAAGAGACGAAGGCAGCGTCATCTCTGAACGCATTGGCAACGTTGTCAGGGCCAACTTTGCTCCTGTAGTCGAGTTGACGCGCCTGGGCGAAAGCCGCATCTGAGAGCGACACGTTTCGGATTTGCTCTTGTCTCGGTGCATGTACTCAATTTGCACCCCGTTCGAATGTCAAGCGTGGGGTGGTGCTGGTGACGTTGTGACTGCGCGTGCGCGTGCGCGTGCGCGTGGGCGGCAGGATCGCGCAAAGCATGCCGGCGATTGCGTCGTTTGTCGGCCGAGTTGCGCCGCCGCCGGTGCTGCAATCAATCAAATCACTCAAACTCACACTCATGCGTTGCGACTCGTGACTCACGACTGAATGGCACGATTCACGCGAGCAAAGCAGCACAGCACAGCACAGCACAGCATGGCGATTCCGCTCTCAGGCACCTCATCGGTCATGCCACCCATTGCGCGCGCGCGCGCGGCGGGCTGCTTGCTACGCGAGGCGCGCGCTGCGAGCTTTGGAAGATCTGACTGACGCGCCGCGGTGGTTGACGATTGATTTCGCATTCGCATTCGCATTCACGATTCACGATTGCCGTTGTTTGACGGAGCCTCGCATCGCCTCGCCTCGCATCGCATCGCATCGCATCGCATCCCCTCGCATCGCATCTTGTACCATCATCACTACCCACTCCGGCCGTGACATGTATGGGAAAAGCCTAGGGAAGTGAAAGCGCACTGACCCTCTCAAGCCTCTTCAGGATCCCAATTTGCCCAGGATAATAACGTTGGTGCAGCACTCAACTCCAATTCGCTCGCTCGCTCGCCACTGCCGCGCTTCGCTTGCTGATCGCGTAAGCTCACCTTGCGGGGCTCAGCAGGTCCTTCTTCCGCACTCCTCGCACTCCTCGCACTCGTCGCACTCGTCGCACTCGCCGCACTCGTCGCACTCGCCTGTACCGCATTCAGGCACTCGCCGCGCCCCCATCGCAGTCCAGCCTGGCAGCATCCATCACCCGCCCGCGCTGCCCACATCTGCGCCAAGCATGTTGTCAAGCAGAGCATACGGATTTGCTTTGAAGCACCACCCTCAGCCTCACAATGCGCTCACAGCGACGCACGCATCCACACACTTGCGCACCCGCAACGCCGTGCCTGCTCCGACGTCGATGCTCTGCTCCGATCGACAGTCGCGCTCGCGCTCGCGCTCGCGCATGCCATGCTGCAGCAGCATACACACACGCGCAGGCTCCTGCGCAGGGTTCATCAAGCGGCAGATGTTGGTCGTTCGCGAGTCGCCCACGTCGCTGTCGAGTGCTGGTCTGCTCCGCAATTTGACTCCATACAGATCCTTTCGACACATGGCCCAGGGCGGAGCGGGCGACGAGTCTGCGAGGGCTACGATTGGCGAGACTGAGCGACAGGGCGGTGCTGCACCCGCACCTGGTGTGGAAGCCAGAGCAGCGGCTGGCAGCACGAGTGGTAGCGCACAACAAGCTGGAAAAGCTGCTTCTGCGACTGCGAATGCGGATGTGACGGCTCACGCGACTCTGAGCGTCAAGGAACAGCGGGCAAAGGATCTGGGCATCATCAGGAAGCTCATCGGGCACATCTGGCCCGCTGGAGACTTTGGCACAAAGAGCAGAGTC